CACAGTCCAGAGGTCACCGGTCCAGTCTGGGTCACACTACACTGCACAGATCACCGGTCCAGTCTGGGTCACACTGTACCCCTACAGTCCAGAAATCGCAGGTCCACTCTGGGTCACACAGTGACCCCATAGTGCTGAGACTGTGCTGTGGGCTGGCAGTGTGAAGGGGCGCAGTGCACCCCTGGGGTATCAGCAGGGGCTGCAGGAATATATGCACAGTCCTCTGCCCAGTGAGATACAGGGGTGGCAGCTGGAGACTCCAAACATGATCAGTGAGGATTTCAAGCAGCACTTCCACAAGAGAAAGAGATTAAATCGTGAAAAAAATGTTCAAAGGCTGCTTCTGAACCCGTGTGGAACAGGAGAGACCTGAACAACCGGTCAGCGCCCGGCGCCCGGCCCTTCGCTGCTGACGACAGACCTGCAGCCCGCAGAGCAGCGATAGTCCTCTCAGCTGCGGCTTCCAGATTCCACGTTAACGCTCCTTTGACGATCAAGCATTCTCCGTTAAAACCCCGCTGCAGGAAGGAAGGCGCGAGTGGAGCGTGTCCGTGGGACCGGGCGGCAGTGTCGCCTTCAGCGGGCACACAGGCGGGGCCGCAGGTGCGCCATGCGGGTGTCCGCCTGTACCTCCGGGTCGATCTCCGCCGGAGCTCCCACAGCCGCGTGTCCTGTGCGTGCGACTCCCTTGTCAATACGGACACTCCTTCCTTGCTCTCCCTCCAGTGTCACTTTTCTTGCCGCCCTTCTTCTGAAGTCTTATCGCCGCCGCAAAATAAAGCCCATTAAAAACCGCACAAGCGCACTTTGTCACCGTGTCTGTGCGTCGCGACAGCCACCCGCAACACCAGCCGCTGCTAGAGCCCGGTACAGCCCCGCTCCTCTTCCTGCAGCTACCGGCCCTGGCAACAGCAACACCGGCGAGACCACTGTCACGCGTGGACAGGTGAGCACCCTGTGTGCGTGCACTCGCACAGTCGGGCATCCGAGCACACGCGTGTGAGCAGGCGGCTATGGGCAGCCGGCACAGCCGCACACAAGCGCACAGCTGTGACAGAGATCAGGCTGTTTCAACGCCTCTTTCCCGAACAGCTGTTACCCTTCCTGCACCTTCTGCAACCCTCAGCATCAGCACTCCGCATCTCTGATCCCCTCGCACCCAGGCAGCCTCGCGCTGCTGCGATCTGAACTGACCTGCCCGGGCTCAGTGCTCTGTCGCTGACCCGGTTCGGCTGGGTTCCTTGTCAGGTTCTCATTACCTCGCCGGACTGGGTATCTGGGTCACAATCGGCACGACGTGCACCTACTCCCGGAAACAAACACACGCAGAGACCGAGAGACACATCCGCCCCTCTCTCCCCGTCTGCCCCTCAGTCCGCCGAGAATTACGGCAAGGACGGAAACACAGGCTCCTGGTTTCTCTTGGCAATGTGACGGATTTAATAATAATAATAATAATAATAATAATAATAATAATAATAATAATAATAATAATAGCTACAGTGCTACAGTCAACAATTCTTGTTATTTGAGAGATGGCTACTGCAACACAACAGCGGTACCGGCTGGTACAGACCCGAAGCCTGATGAACTCTGGACCGCAGAGTGATGCATCCTGACAAGCAGGCTAGGGCTGTGAGGAGTCTCGTTGGACTAGTAGGTGGTGCTCTGTCCTTAGGAGCAGAATTTCCAGTCTAATTCCAGGGAAACTGTACAGTAGCTTTTCTTCAGATGAGATGTTAAAACAAGGATTAGTCTCTGTTCCCTCCTGGACAAACACAGGGGTCAATTCTGGATGAATTTGTCAACTGGTGTGATATTTCTTACCTGGAGATGAATATGCCCAAAACAAAAGAGATTATTTTTTATTTAAAAAACAACGTTATATCTTTCCCACCACAATCCATGGTGCGGCTGTTGGTGTAGTCCACAGGTCCAGCTACTGTACCTGGCCCTGTGTTTGATGATAAACCCACAATCACCGAGAACACCGCTGTCACTGCGGGGGAGTCCCAGCAGCACTTGTGTGGTCTGAGAGAACTGGGTTCCTTTGGAGTTAAAAAAAGAATTCCATCAAATATTAATTATTATGATTAATATACTTTGTGAAAACATTACACAAGATAAAGATAAGGTCCACACATCTTTCATGTTCTTACCTTTCGATATAGTCTGTAAATATGCCTTTACATATATTTTAAACTGTTCAAACATAGATCTCTTCCCAAACCATTCCACTTTATGTATGTAACAACGTGCGAGTACAACAATTAAATCAATTTACAAAAGACCCGGAACTCAAGTACAAGGGCTTCTTTTTTCTGCAAATAAAGTCCTTCTGCCCCTCACAATAATGTCGGCTCTATCGCTCCAGACCGAATAAAGATGGCGCCTGAACATACAGTACAAGCTTGATTGTGATTGGTTTAGGGGTGGAGTGTAGCGAGCGCTGATTCGACAACACAGGAACGTGGGCAGCCGTGTATGGCCAGTTGTTCTTGGACTCCACGTGAGAAAGCGGCGAAGTTTTTGAACCAGGTATTTTTGTATGAGTTATTTTGAATTAGCTGTAGCAGAAAGCCAGTTCGGACTTTAAACCTCAAATCTTATCGTGTGTTCACTAATACTTAGTATTTTAGAGTTTGCGAGTTTCCTGCACTTGAGGTGACGCAGTTTGTGTTTTGTGTAGCTCGGTGTATTTCTAATCGCTGCAGAAGCGCCGTTAACAAATGACTCCTGCCGGTCCGCTCGCTGAGTAGTAACGTGTCCGGTCTCCAGGACTGCTGGACTGACCGCCTGTCCGTCCGCAGGGCCGGGTGACCATGTCGGCGGAACAGGCTGTGGGCGAGGAGGCGGGGGATGCCGGGATGTCGGAGGCGCAGCGCGTGGTACTGGAGCGCTGCCTGCGCGCGCTGAGGGATGCCGGCAATGACAGCGAGACCCTGGCCGCCCTGCTGCTGGTAACACGCACACACACACGCACGCACACACACACACGCACGCACACACACACGCACGCACGCACGCACGCACGCACACGGCGGACAGCTGATGGAGCCCGGTCCCCGGGAGCTGTACTCACTCCCCTCTCTATCTCTGCAGATAACCCGGTTCTGTCCAGCCGGTCGGATGGACCGGGCCACCCTGCGCCGCGTGTTCGAGGCGGTGGGATTCTCTCTGCCCAACCGGCTGCTGGTTTCCGCAGCAACTGGGGGTGGGCAGTGCCCCCCAGGAGTCCTGCTGTCGCTGGGCGTGTCCCTGCTGGCTGGGTTCAGTGCCGACCCGGAACTGGCTGCTCACCCACAGCTCATCAACAAAGTCTCGCTGCTGCTGGACCTGCTGGCCGGCAGGTGTGACTGGACCCAGGCGAGCCAGGGCTCCCAGAACCAGGCCCGTGAAGGCCAGGGGGCAGAGGAGCTCAGGTCGGAGGGCCTGGACCCAGCCTGGCAGAACCAGGGCTCCTGTGAGAGTGAGCTCAGTTCGGCCCGGGAGCCAGAGAGCTCTGCAGTGCCTGGCCAGAATCTGGGCAGACCGGACCGAGATGCACAACAGAGTTCTGAAGCCCAGGCCCAGTGTGGACAGCGTCATGTGGATCAGAGCCAGCAGAGAGGGGAAAACGCCAGGCCCGCAGAGCCGGCCCACAAGAGCAGCAAGAGAACTGAGCCGGGCGGGGACGTGGAGGAGACCCGGGAGAGCCAGACTGACCCAGAGCAGGCGTTGGTTCTGGACTGCTACGAGGCGCTGTGGGGGGTGTGTGGCTCGGCCGGGGGCCCGGCAGTCCTGCTGTCCCGGGGAGCGGTGCCGGCGCTGTGTCAGGCCTACGTCCAGAACCGGGCCCTGAGCCGTGAGAGAGCTCTGCCTCTGCTGGGACAGCTGCTTTCGGGCCCAACCAGAACTGCAGCCTGGCAGAAACACGCAGCGCAGCTGTCAGATCTGCTGGCTCGGCGGGTCCAGGAGTTCTGCCAGGCTCCGGATCTGCACAGGGTCGAACTGTGTGCCGGGCTACTGCAGTTCCTGCCCCCGCCTGGGGGGGCGCCACTGAGCGACGGCCTCAAGGAGAGTGTGACTGTGCTCTGGGGGGGCCTGCGGCCTCTGATCCAGGCCCGCATCAGCCCAGCCCAGCTAGGCTCTGTCCTGGTTCTGTCCGCTTGCATGCTGGACCTGTGTGGCTGGGCCCCACTGGGCTCCACCCAGATCAGCTGCCTGCTGGTCAACCGAGCCTGTGTTGAGATCCGAATGGGCCTGGAGGAGCCTCCTGGCACTGTCCTTGCAGAAGCACAGCAGCAGACACTCACCGCCTGCTACCGCATCCTGGAGGCAGCCCTAGAGCAGGCCTGCAGCCTGGGGCTCTCCCAGGACCCTGCCCAGCCACAGCGCACCGACGCTGGGCTGAGTCGGCAGCAGAGCAGGCAGCTGTTCGGAGTCCTGGAAGAGGCCTTTTCTGCCATCGTGTACTACCTGCAGCAGGTGAGAGGGGGAGGGAGGGAGGCTGGGAGGAGAGAGGCAGAGCCAGACAGGAAGGGTTTGCTGGGACAGGCCTGGATGGAGAGGCACTTCCTGCTAACTAAACACATAAAACTGAGAAAAAACTGCCTCTCCCAAAACTGGTGTCTTGTGCCGTTCTCACACCTCCTGGAGAGCAGGGGGTCTGTACAGCTGTGTCTGCTGACCCCAGCCTGCGCGACAGTGGGGGAGAGAGCGTGTCGGGAGGGCTGAAGTGCCACTTCCTCTAGGCGCTGCAGATATCCTGCGGCCACTCTGTTCTGTACTTGCGATGCAGTTTGATCGTCTGCAGGAAGGGCAGGGCAAACTGACAGCCTCCTCGCCCCACCCAGGTGACCCCGAGTTGCTATGGAGACCCCTTCATCTTCGCCACTGTCCGTGCGCTGTGCGCCTGGCTGGCGGAGGAGACGTCCTGCCTGAGAGAGGAAGTGACCGCTCTGCTTCCCTTCCTGATTGGCTACGCCAGGGAGCAGCTGCAGGGAGCGCGAGGGGACCAGGGCCAGGCTGACCGGCCCGCGAGTGACTCCGCGCAGGGCAGCGGCTGGCCAGGAGAGGACGCCCTGAGGTGAGGCCCTGAGAAGTGCATGCTGGGAGACGGGTGACAGTGCTCAGGCCGGGTCAGAATGTCTAACCCCTGTCTCTGTGCCCCAGGTTCCTTCTTCCCGCGCTGTGCCACCTGACTGCAGAGGACGGGCCCAGGGGGGTGCTGCTGTCCCTTGGGACGCCTGTCCTGCTCACAGACTTCCTGTCCCGTGGCTGGAAGAGGCTGCAGGGCGGCCGAGGTACTCGGGGGGCGCTGGGGGATCCCGGCATGGAGACGGCCTGCTCTGCCCTTCTGAACATCGTTGTGACGGAGCCCAGCGCTGTCAGGTGAGGCACGGTCGTGCCCAGAGACGCGTGCGAGACGCTGTCACACCGAGAGAGACACTGACTGGTTGCTCTGTCTGTTCCACACCTCGCCTGGCAGGACAGACGCCTGTTTCTCCTCTCTGCTGTCCCTGCTGACGGACGCGCTCTGCGCCCTCCTGCACAAACTCCATCTGCTGGTGCTGGCTGCCAATTTCTGCACTCTGGGGCTCCTGATTGGCCGACTGAGACCTGGCCCAGCAGGTAACCATGGAGAAGTCTGCCTTCACGTTTGTCTGTCTGTCTTCTATACTCCTGCCCGTCTGCCTGTCTGTCCCCCCCAGACTCCTGCCTGTCTGTCCCCCCCCCCCCTGCCTGTCTGTGTCCCCCCAGACTCCTCTCAGTTCTGCCTGTGTTCCAGGTCCGGATGGGGAGCCGGGTCAGCAGCGCTTCTTCTCGGCTGCTCTGCGTTTCCTGGGCCGCGCTCTGTGTGCTGACCCGGTGGGGCTCGGCCCGGCCCAGCTCAGCCCGGGGTTCTCGGAGCGCTGGGATGAGGTGTGTGAGCTGTGGCGGCTGGGCCTGCAGGCGCTGGCCGGCTGCGTGGACGTGTTGCCGTGGTTACCTGGCCTGGCCCGAGAGGGCGGCTGGCTGGGAGACGTGTTGGCTCTCCTGGGCAGCTGCACCGCGCTGCCTGACCCCGACACGCAGGGGGCGCTGCAGGCGGCACTCACAGCCCTGGCCCTTCGCTGCCCCCTGTGCAGAGGGGAGATCCTGGCGGTGACACGGAGTGGGACAGGGGGCGTCCTGCCCAGCATGGCGGAGCTGCAGAGGGCCCTGACGGCCGGACCCCTGGGGTTCTCCAAAGCCGAGGACTGATTTGTACATCAATAAAGAGTGGAAGCATCCGAGCTCCTGAGCGTCTGTCTGACCCTGCGGAGAGAGGAGGGGGAGCTCGGGGCCTCCGGGAGACAGCAGGGCCGTGCAGAGTCCTGTCCTCTGTAAAAACAGCTGAATGGACGAGTTTACCAGCAAGGAGGCCACGGTCCTGGAACCAGTGAGACGCTTTCTGCAGGGTGAATTCCGCAAACCAAAAAAGTTAAAATATTTTTTATTTAAAAATTTCGGACACGAGATGTAACATGAGATGAGCTACATCAGCTGTTGGCTCAGGGAAGAGGGAACACTGAACTTGTATCAGGGCAGCCTGAGAACATCTGCCTACAGAGAGAATGTATTATTAAGCTGCACAAAGATAAAATTAAAGAGGTGGTCAAATGACATGGATGACTAGAGGCTTTAGATGGGAGTGGTCGATGTGTTACCGATTGTGCAGGACAGTACAGTTCCAGGAAACCCCTGTGAGTTATGTCTCACAGATGCTGATTTTCTGCTCTCTTTATGTTTTTAGTCTGCTCCTTGCAAACTTGTTTTTTTCACTTTACACTGTTTTAAAACATCATGCTTACAACAGCTACATGCATCACTGTTAATGTATCTGAATATAAGAGCAATATTTTTTTATTCAGTTTTGTAAGGTGCCTTTTAAAAGTGGCTTCTCAAAGCAGTTTACAGTAATAAAAATACAGTGCGGACAGAATTGCACAATTACAATAAGGGTTTGGATTACACGAGGAAAGCAAAGAGGCAGACAGAACCAGTGACATCAAAACTTAAAGAAGAAGGAAGGAAAGAAGTCAATATTGAAGGACTGTAATAGTGATTAGACGATTTATAAAAAAGCTTCTAGTTCCTGTTTATGAACAGTCTTTCCTGGGCCACGGTTAGTCACTCCTGCAAACTCGTGATAAGACCTAACCGTACATGCAATACCTCCAGTGTCACCAGAGGTCGCTCTAAACGCGTTTGTCACTGATCGAGATTGTCCTGCGTTTCCCCCGATGACCGATAGATGGAGCTAGCCCACCGTTCTTTGTGTGAAAAAACTGCACTCGGCTGGAAGTTCGAAAAAATACATGCAACTGTTTATTGTGACAAAACTATTTAGATGTTCAGCCGATATGATTCTTTCTCCTTATGTACACTTCTTTCACACCTCTCAGTCTGAGATCTAAATTCAAAGAGCTTTATTGGAAAAGTCTCTTACATCTGTCCCCTGACTCATCTCAGTCCGGCTGGCCCCCAGTGTATATAAAGGGAGATGTTGACTGTCATGCACGGTGGCGCTAACTGAACTGGCTTCTGCGAGAAAACAACCTCCTTCCAGAACAGGTCTCTCGACCTCCAGCTCACTGACGGTCTTGTCCGGTGAGTTCTGGACAGAGACACAATCCAACATCCCCTGCTAATCTTTCTTATAACGTGTCGGCATTGTGAAAAGATTATTCTCTTTCTCTTTAACTCTTGTCTGCTGATTGATGGAACTGCAACCAATTGGCAAATATTTGCATAAACAACACAAGCAAGACCAGTATTTCCATATTTAACAAAACAGTCTGAGAACTTGCTCAAAATAAAACCACTCCAAATTCCCAATATGCAGGTCACAGGGATTTAAAAGAACAGTTTTTCTCTCTGTGTGTAAAGTGCCATTGTTTTATCTTCCTCTCTAGGTAAGAATACACAGTAACATTGGTTACAGACTAGAGCAGCCGTTCAGTCAGTTTGGCCTGTTTGGCAGTCAGTAGCTAATTTAGCCCAGAATTTCATTCAGCAATACCCCTCTTCTGGAATAAAAAGAACTATAAAATCTCCTTGTGTCTGCAATGTCCTTCATGTTCATGGTTCATATAATAATAATAATAATACACGATGACAAGGAGCAGTAGGAGATGAAGGTACTGAGGTGCTGAGCCGTGCAGAGCCTTATAGGTGAGCAGGAGGATTTTGAAGTCGACACTAAACTTGACGGAAAGCCAGTGCAGGGACTCCAGGATAGGAGTAATGTGATCACTTGCACTAGACCTGGTCGAGATTCTGGCTGCTGGAGTTTGTTCAGTGTGAATTTAGAAACTCCAGTGAGTAGAGCATTACAGTGATCAATTTGGGAGAAGACAAATGTGTTGATCAGCCTTTCAGCAGCAGTTAGTGATATCATAGGACGCAGTCTGGTGATATTTCTGAGGTGAAAGAATGATGTTTTGACAATATGCTGCACATGTGGGTGGAATGTCAAGTCTGAATCAAATATCACCCCCATGATTTTCAATTACAGAAGTAATTTCAAGTACAGTACCATCCACAGATAGGGTTACAGCATTGGCTTTACAAAGTTGATGGGGGGTGCTAATTAGCATGAATTCAGTCTTGTTAGATGAGGGAAATTTGGAGTCATCCATATTTTTATGTCAGAGATGCAATTACAGAGAATAGAGACAGCCACAGCACATGTCACTGTTCCCTCTGCAGATGTCTACTGGGTTGACTTTGTCAGGGAGCATGAAGATTCAGTCAGGTCCCCTCATAGTTTTCTCTGGTCATGACTGAAAACATTCATTAATTTGCCATCTAGACCAGCCCTTCTACATCTGTTCTGTGTGTATTGATTCCTTTCGTTCTGTATTGGGACAGTCAGCTGCTCTATTGCTGTGCTGCGCTCAGAGAGACAGTCAGCTGCTCCATTGCTGTGCTGCGCTCAGAGAGACAGTCAGCTGCTC